CATTCACAAATCTATCTGAACACACATAAAAAAATTAATCAAAATTGCTTCAACCTATAGAAATGGGTTCAAGGCGAACGAGTATTGAAACTGATTTATAATATATGAACTGGTTTTTAACTAGTATGAAGGTGATGCATAGACTGACAGTTGGCAGTTCGTAGAACATCGCGGTGTTTATACAGTTGCTTACATGAAGTATAGAAGATGGCAGATGAACTAGTTGGTGCATAAATGTAAGTTATTTGAATTCTATTTAACAAATAGTATTTTTTTCCAGCAGGGTACTTGTATGCTTAAACATTACATTTGTATGTATGCATGTATGTAAGAATTGGCTCGGTCACAGCGCGCTTAGCAAGTCTACTCAGTGGTTTTATTGGTTTTTTTCTATTGCGCTTCCAACTTTCTTCCTTCTTCCTTTCCCGGCTTCATGATAAGCCCGACACAAAGACCGCATTGGCCGTTGGCAGGCTGTGAAACAATTTTTTTTGGCAATTTTTCAAAATAAAAGCAATGGAAAAAAGAAAAAAAAAGAAAATTAAATTGGAAACAGAAATAAGTATTATCAGATAAATTTAAAGCTCACAAGTATGCACCTTTGTACATTAATATTAGGTGTAGTAAAAAGTAATCCATTATTTTTTCAAGTGATGGCGTTGTTTATCTGCAGCTCGCGTTGTATAAATCCGATTGCGTTTCGCTGAACGGCGTTAGAAAGCTGATATTTCGTACTAAAAAAAGTTTTTGAATAGTTTTGTGATTGGTTGATTCAGTTTTGTTTGAGCGTGCGTCGAAGATGGACATTTGCAAAGAGAAAAAACGCTATATTTTACAGTTTTTTTCGATAAGGGCGAAAACGCAAGCCAGGCGGCTGAAAATGTGGAAAGCGTTTATGGCTCTGATACTGTTATAGTCAATGCTGCACAATAACGTTTTCATTACCGTAATTTTCATGTAAAGGTTCCTTCACGGTGTGAAAAGCCAATTTTCAAAAATGTCGACAAAATCATGGACATTGTCGAGTAAACACTGTTTCTAATTGCGGTCACCCCTCGGCGGAGAACGTCAACCACCGAGTGTGCTTCTGAAATGAAATAAAGCTCCTCATTAAGAAACCATAAGCCGTTAGGAGGCGGCTTAGTACAAACTGTAGGTTCCTCCATTTCTTGGGAAAACATCAAGACGCAAAACCACAAATTGGAGAAGGAGCTCGGACGAAAATCGCTTCAGCGGTTATAAAGCGCCTATTTATATATATACGTAAATATTTTTCTATAAGAAATTGCAAAAAACAGACAGCAAGCGCACATTTGCATAAATTCACATTTATATGTATATATATTTATATTATTTTTTTTTATTCCAATTTATGTGTGTGTATTTATAAAAATTAAAAAAAAAAAAAAATGAAATATATGTAAAAAATAAATATATTATCCTTGTGTTTTCGAGCTGCTTTTCGCTATACAAATTTTTTTTTTAATTTTTTTGGGGTCATAGTTAATGTGCCAACGGCTCGTTGCTCGTTATTTTTGGCACACGTGCATTCAAATCGTAGATAAATATTAATTAAATTTTATGCTTTTCATACACATATATGTACATATATAACGAGATAAGCATATACGCTGTAGTGTAAGGCCAAGCTGGTGGGTAGGAATTCTGTTTGAGTGCTAGCCTTAGAAAAATTTAATCCCTACCATGTATTATCTGTTCACAAATCAGCAGCAATGGTATAAACAGTTAGTTCTGTTAACCACCTCGCCGTCGGCATGTTGCGGTAAATTTTCTCACACTATTATTAGTAAATACATATGTATATACATAGCCGGGTGGTTAGAGGCTGTCACAGTGGCGCTTGGGATTCATGTTTCGAATCTTGCTGTGGGCATATTTTATTACAACTTTTTTCTGCAAAGTAGATACTCAACACGTAGACTTGAACTAGTATTTAAGTAGTATGCAGCTGATGCATTGACGATCAGATAAAGGCACATTCGGCATCGCCATGTTAAATATATAATTTCGTTATATAGAAAAATTAAGAAAGAAACATGAACTTCGTGTTCCCCATCGACGGGGCATCGAATGAACAGTAGCGCGACAGTCGTACTTTCGCTTTGCTCCTTGGCACCTATTAGATCCAGTTCACTAAAAGCTGTAGCGATGTCATTTATGTAATTTTTTCAACATATTTTCGTTGGTGTGGTCGCTTATGTACTGAAAGGTAACTTCAACTTTGTATTACAGGCGCTTAACCTTAAGGAGTTAAACGGATGCTAGTGTCAATGAGATGGTATTGGCTTTACAAGGTTATGTAAGACTTTTATGAGCCCCAGTAATCTCGACAGCTTCGAGTTATCTCATAGCCTGCGATATGAGCTTCATCGGGAGAGATGACTTTTACATTTTCTCTCGAATTTCAAGCGTAACTTTCTTGAGCTGCGCTTGAAGATTGAAGTATTTTGGAATGAATTTTTTTTTAATTGTATACTTGGCTAATTAGCAGAAATTCTGAAGCAACGGTAATATCATTGAAGTTGTTGAAGCTCAAATGGCGTATTTTGTTCATAAACATTTATTTTATTTTTTAAAAGTAATTTAATCTCTATTGGCTATGGTAAAAATAATTTTGTCCTTTAGACCAAAAAAAAAAAAAAAACGAAAAAAACCTTGCATAGTTTTAAGCGCATCTCCTCGGCATTATAATCTGAACACTTGCCTACATTTAAGCGCACTCAAATTTTATTATAAAACGAGGTACATAATTATACGTTTACATTTTACTTATAACCATTTTCTCATTACTTCCTTTTCAGATGTTGCATAGCTACCACAACAACAAAAACAACAGCAATAGCAGCAAAGAACAATAAAAGCGAGTAGCATTAGAAAAATATATAAAGATATATACATATATATATGTATGTACTAAAACCAGCAAACTCTTGGGTGGCCCATAAGCAGCCAAAAATTACGCTAATAACACTCACCGTAATTAAAAAACCAACTGAAGTCGTTGCTAAATGCGAAGCTGGAGCAAGCACAGAGCAGTAAATAGACAGCGTATCGTTCGATGTGCCATCACCATAGAAGCTGGCAATTTGTGAGTAGCTAATGGGCCTCGAAATAGCCGAATGCGTTAATATTGTTTTTGTAGCAGACTTTTAGGCGCAAAGTAGGTAGAAATAGCTAATTTCGAAAATCCAAAAACCAAAAACCAACAATAACAAATTAGCAATTTTAAAACAACCAAATAAAAGGAAATTACTTTTGATAAACACAATTCAACAACAACAACTGCAATTCAAGTAAATAGGAATCGTTATATAAAACAAAAAACTTCTATTGATTGGCAGTGCTACACTTGTAGACCGCCTGGCGTTCGTTGGCTGGTTTGCGACAGACTGCTTACGACGAAAGCTGATGGTTGTTAACCTGAAAAATTGATACATGAAAAATGTTGCTCTTTGTGCAATGAATACCCATTCAATTAGAGAGTTAGCAAAAGTACAGCCTAAAGGTAGGCAACATCCAAAAGCACAATTAAGGGTATGCTGTAATTAAATGGCAAGTGAAGCGATGAGGTGCGGTGTTTAAGGAAGGCTGAAGAAATAGAGAAAATAAGCGAAAAATCACTTGTACGAACAAATGAGTAGTCATTAGTGATAGTTGATGGTTTGTAAAGGCAAAAAAAAAAAAATCAAAGAAAGCTACTAGCAATTACTAAAGACAAGTACAAAAGAATTTAAAAATAAAACAAATGAAAATTAAAGCAATTCAGCGACCACTCTTAATTTACGAATAAAAAAGAGGAATAAAAAAGTTTGAGAAAATCAGACAAAAATAGGTCTAATAAGTGTAGTGTTAAGCAAAAAAAAAAAAAAATTAAAAATATAAAAAAAAAAAAAAAACAACTTGCCACACAGTGTACGACTCAAGCAGCACAGCCAACTAATGCGCTCAAACAAAAAAGTTATCGAAGGCGACGTTGGCGACCACGAGTTCACTGCGCTCTTACACTGAACTGAGAGAAAAAGATACAAATAAAAGTAAATACTAAAAATAACAACAATACTAGCATCACAAGTATGTCTGCATTGTTGGGCTGTCAGCTTGCATTGTCTTGTTCATCTGTCTCCTAAGTGAATGAGCACAGCAAAAGCGAAACAATACGAATAGCGAATGCGGAGCACGAAACGTCTTTATACATATTTCATTTATTCATAATGATTGCACATTAAATAAAAAGTGGAAAACAAAAACAATACCAATAAAAAAAACACGTAACAAAAGGAATTGCTCAAATTGTTTCTAAAAAAAATTTCGAAATTTTTTTTTTTAATTATAGTTGCACTCAAATCGAGTTGAAATCAATTGCAAGAAATATTGTGCAGTTTTTGAATAATTCTCAGAAAATAATAGAAAATGCGTATCTAACGAAAAGCTTATAAGAAAAAAATATGATTTTTTATGCGATAAATAACTGTTAAGCGCTTAAAAATGCACAATAATTTTTTTTAGATCATAACCACGCGCCACGTTCATAGATACCAATACACGTGCAGATACATATACACACATTTCTTTTGGGCACAAAAGTGAATTGCCTTTAGGTGTTCGTTTGATATTTGTAAAATTTGAAAGTTAAAAACCTTAAAATATATGACTAAAATAATAAAAAATATAAAAAATGTAAAAAAATTAAGGAAATAATTAATTAATAATTAATAAAAATTTATGAGAAATAAAAAAAAAAATTACATAAGAATTTCACAAGTTTAGCGCCCAAAACCGAAAGCAAGCACTAAAATTGTATCAAAAAGTAAACCCTTCAACTGCATTTAAGTACCACTACTACAACAACAACTACTAAAATCGTAAAAAAAAACCAACACAAAAACCAAGTAAAAAATTATACACAAAAATAGTTTCATACAAAAATGTGCGCCTAAAAGCTAACAACGACACAAGTAGTATTCCACACAACAAACGCTGCCATTCAAAATTAACGCAACACTGCAACGCCAACGTAACGGTGGTGGAGGCAGAGGTGGGCATGTATCATTAGCTAACGCCCACGCCACCAATATAACACCGACGGCGTTAGAGAAACAACCAACGATTACAGCAATACAGCTACCAACAACAAAGGAAACTGTTGCAACAACAACAACAAAAACAAAAACAACTGCAGTATCAGCATCAGCATCAGTAGCAACTACAATAGCCAGCATTGAAGCCACAGCAAACACATGCATTGTCCGACAGCAACAACAACGAACAGTACAATCAATACAACAGCGAGAATATCATACTCAACGGCATTTGAGATTATTAGTAGCGCGCAGTAGCAGCAAATTTGCTGCTGCTGCCGCTGCAGTCGCCGCCGCCATTTTTGCTGCTGCCAGCGTAGCGTGCGCTGGCATTTTGGCGGGCCGAACACGTGCAACGCCCGCCACGAACAAAGCCACCGCCGCCGCCGCCGCCGCCACAAATGTCACAGACGCCAACACAAGCACATCAGTTCGATCTTCAGTCTCGCTCTCAGTCGCACTCACAACTATAACCAAAGCCACAGCCACAGCCACAGCCACAAGCAAAGCCAATGTAACCTCACATGACAACGGTACCAGTGAAGGCTTTAGCGGTAGTGGTGCCACGAGTGCAGCTAGTTCGATAAATTCAATAAAAGGCAGCAGCAGCGGCGGCGTCGCATACACGACTACTACTCCTTCCTTGCCAAAGCAGTGCGCAATTGTCAACGATTTTTATACAATACAACGGACAAGCATATCGCGAAAAGCATCAGCTTTTTCTACTTTGACTACTTCGTCTGCTTCCTCTTCTGCTCACACATCCGCGTCATGTGACAGCTATAACGGTAGTAATCGAACTCGTAGTAAAAAGAAGTGTCGTGGTCGCGTTCGTCGTCGCAGACGCGTTTGCTGGTATTCAGCATATGCTCACAAAAATAGTAGTGCTCGTAGTGATCGTGGTAGTAGTAACGGTGTGAGTGAGAGTGGCTGCGAATTGAGTTGCATTGCAGGTGACGTAGATGTTGACGTGGACGCCGATTGGCGTACGAAGCGTTACGAGCACAATATCGGCGCAAGGTTGCGTTTTGTAGGCGATGCCACGTCAAGCAGAACAAAGGTGAGTTCAAACTAAATGAAGGAATGTGTAGTTAATGATAGAGAATTAAATGATTTCATATAAAATACTTGATATTATTTTATATACATATTTGCTGACCCGTCAAACTTTTTTCTGCTATATAGACAATAAATGAGCATATTTCCGATTTATAAACATTAGGATAACAAATGTAATCAGTGAAAATCAATTTAAAAATCAAAGTTGCTTTATTGAGTGTGTATTTTGCTGAATGGGCTGTTTTGTTTAGCGAAGATAGTTGTGATAGACATTATTTTTCGTTTCATTACTAGGCATAATAACAATTAACGCAGTTAGTCTTCCAACTCTTGAACATGCAACATATAACTGGTCATGTGAAAATGCATGGTTTTTATATACACAGACCAGAAACATTAAAGAACTCGATGTCCTTGTTATTTATTTAATGTTTATGGCGAATTCAATACGGATCGGAAATTGATATTACACGAAAGTCAAACGGAATATCGTTTCAGGCCAGCTGGGTCATCGGTATCCTCGCAATTCGAATATTCCATTGAGTATCGTCGCTCAAATCACATTTTTCCTCAATTTATTTACTACCAAAAGTGTTCCGTTGCACAGGTTACACTTCGACGCATGATCATTATGTAGCCAACATTTAGTCGCAAATTAGGCGGTGATAAGCCAGGCACATCAATATATTTGAATGAATGCAGTGTACCAATGATCTCATACTGAATTATGTAGCTTAAGCCAGGTTTAAGTCAACTGTATCTTTATCTTGGCCGCCAAATTCGTTCACACACACAACAATTCTTTGTTGTCCGGTTGGCAATGATTTTTGGGAAAACATTTTCGATGAGTTCGTTTTTTGATGAGGCATAGTTACAGACATTCATTGGAAATGAGATCAATCGGTTCGATTCGTCGTCAGATACACGACCGTTACCGATAGTCAGCAATTGCTGAGGGAAATGCTCAGCAGTTGCATTATTCAGCAATGCAATTTTTATTTGTAGATTCGTTGATTTGAGACAAGTGTTTCGTCTGCAGCATTGATTCTAGAATTACCGGCAGTGTTTTGCGAAAACCGTTGTTGCGTCTCGCATGAACCGCGACTTAAACTATTGGCATGAGGCATATCTTACCAGTTCCAGCGGGTGTATCCAGGAAATATGAATCACCATTTACATCACAATTGCCGTAGTAAGGCAACGTAACGAGAAATTTTTTGCTCTTCTCCAATCCTTTCATTCGTAATGTTTCGAATTCAATTTCAAATGATGGGCTAGACTTCTGATATTTTGATTGATCAGTTTTTCATTTCGCTGTCAGTAGTATTTTGTTACTTTTTCTTCATTCACTACCAGATCCATTCTCACCGTTTCCTTGAGGCCAATAATACAAGCGACAAACGACAGCAGTACGCGTGTGTGAAGAACCTTCTCTGTTTAGGTGTGCAGCTCGTATTAAATTCTCCAGGATTGAGCAAAAATTGTCAGACGATAAAGTGTCAGCTTGTTTGAGACTTTGTTTTATACCAATTAGCTCGGTGAGACCTGTTCAAGTACTGATATGGTTATTGGTCAGACATAACGGTACTGTGGGTTCATATTAAGTGCTGTCGGAGGCAGCAGTTGTAAAATGCGCAACGAGTCTAAGCAGCTCAGGCACAAATTGGAAGCAAAAAATCCATACCATCTTATTCTTCTAGACCAGTTCTCTTTTAATACAGCGACAAGCGTAATAACAGCCCACAGTTTAATGGATCTTCACAGAACAATAATGGGTTATCTTTCTAATGATATTTGTTGCAACTACAGAAGAAAAAAAAAGGTAGAGTCTATTAAACACTATATCTGTCACTATGTAGCCAAAGCATCTGTGCAAAGCAAGCTCGTCGGAGAACAATTCTTTAATTGTCTCGCTGAGCTAACTGCATCGGAAAAATGCTAATATCTAAGTTTTCTGAGGCATACGATGTAGTTGAATATTTGAGAAGTTGAATATAGAAACCTCGCGGTATCACAATAGGCCGTTAGTCACTGACCAGCGGCGCCATCAACTCAACTTAACTCCTCTCTATTCTGAAGCTATACTGAAAAATCCGAATAGCTTATTGACGCAAGGCCTCGATCTGTCACATAATACGCTTCTAAGGCACCTGCATGCGGGGATTTTACAGAGCTCAATTCAGTGCTATGCGCCAAGCGGGTTTACCACCTTTGTGTGCATGACTGTTACTGCAACTGAATAGATTGGAGTAGTAAACTTATAATGCTCTCAAAATCTGTCCACTGTCTACTTGGTTTCCACTTGAGTACGTGCCGATTTGTGCCAGTTTTTCAAGCACTTCATATTCCATGTTTTTACATAACCTGACCTTACACAATATACTAAATAAAGCTGACCACTACATATCTGTCTAATTTACAAAGCTCCAAGATTGAGTTGACTTCATCTTAAGTCACTGTAACTAATCTTCTACAACAGCTAGCTTTGAATCTCCTTTCAAACTCCGAAACATCTTCTGTATACTTCAAATTAAAAATAAAAAAAAAACTGCTGCTGTTTTGAAAGGAATAATCAAATGCAGCTATTTCTTCAAGATATAAAATAATAATGTTTATATTTAAGTTTAAGAAAAATGTTTTTTTACAAAATTATAAAACAAAATTTGTAACAATGATAAACCAAACTGGTTTACCTGTTTCCTTTGTAGCGACATTTCCATTTGAAAAGCCTAAATTGACTTTGTACAGTCACAATATTGTACACCTATGGCTCTATACATACATACTTATGCACGAGTAGAAGTCATCAGTTCACTATTATCATACAATAGCTTATGGTCACATAAAAGGTTGGAGTTCAGTGAACCCACCTTGAGGTCTCAACCGATGAACTCAGCAACTTGAGTATATATTTGATGAACGAATGTGCACTTAAATAAACTTATATGAGTGGACATTTATATTGCAATTGCGAAAAGCATACATATATGTATGTACATATTTACTTTCGTGAGCATTATTATTTTCTATTGTCATTCATGAGGAACTTCCGGCTGCATTCAGCAATTATATTGTATATGCTTTTAAAAAATGCGCTAAATGTGTATGTATGTCATACTACAGCCAGGTAGTTGAGAAGAACTAATAGGAAAAGAGATTTTATGCGTCTATACTAAAAATTTATAGCAGAATAAGAATTATGCTGCGTACAGTAATTTAATGAAATTAAAAATCTAGTAAAATATTTGGCATACTTCTTTAAATACGTGCAATAGCTTTTATAATTCCTTAATAAACGAAAATCGTTTCATTGTTTTCCAAAATATTCTGCATCTGTAGTTTTGTAAGCGTTTGAATCAATTGCCGCAGCACTTTTGCCACTCTGATTGAGGTACATCTAAAACATGATTGATTGAAAAAGAAAAATATGACGTGGATGCAGATTACTAATAATAAATTACTTCTTGTGAGTTTGTTGGGAGTGGCAAGGAACCATCTACTATGAGCTGTACCCCTTCGACCAAACATTCAATCACCCAAAAGCCACCCAGTCTTGACCTATAGGAGGGGAATAACGTTTCGTCAGGACTACGATATACCACACAAACCGATAGTGACGTGCCAAACGCCCGGTTGGGAGATTCCCTTATATCCACCTTGCAGTCCATACCGCGCATCGAGTGATTACCATCTCTTCTTAGCTGTGACGAATAATATAGCTGGTAAAGGATTTGCTTTAAGAGGTACCTGTGAAAATTGATTGTCCAATTTTTTTTTCCAATAAGGACATGGGTTTCTATGATTGCTAATTAAATTTTTTACTTAAATTTTTCGCATGTAAA